AGCAATGTTGCGTTATCAGAGTATAAGTCTGGTAGGTATGTACCAACCTGCTCATCAAAAGGCGACTTTAACAAAGTGCAAATAAAATCTGAATACTCCTTCTGTGTGGGCTATAATGGACGAGAAGTACTAGGCTCCAGAACACCAAAGCCTTTCAATCCAAGATGTCAAGAAAATGGTAAGACATTAGCTCACAATTTTTTTTTCTACATTTACTTCGATAATGATGATTTACTGGTATGCTCCTACGAGTGCGGACTAATAAATTTTAGATTTTTTGCTCAGACTGAACTTGAACTAGTGACTTCTCGTATTTTAGAGCAAGTGCGCTGACCAACTGTGCCGCAGATTTAGATTAAGTGCGTCACAACAAGAGAGACATACATGTAAAATCATTCATCTCCTTCTTTGATTCTGTTAACCGTTTTTCTTTCTATTCTCCTGTTTTTTTCCAGTCAACATTGCCCCCCAAATGAGGCCAGATAGATGTCCTATTATGATCGCTAATAGTCCACCATGCAATGCTGACCAGTGTCAATCAAATGGAGATTGTAAAGGAGGAAAACGATGTTGCTTCGATGGATGCAGTAATCAATGTGTTAGCGATATGAACGAACCTTCAGGTACGGTTATTGACTAATCCAGAGCCAATTAAGCAAATGTTACCGCCCAGCACCATAAGAAAATGTTGGGATATTGGGCATTACTGAATAACAAACACACAGAAGGATCACACAATTTTTTTTAGCTACTAGAGTCTTTCTTGCATCAAGCAAGAGAGCGCATATTGAATGATTTTTGATAGAGTGTTTTAAGGACCTCGACCTCATCCATCTCCAACGTTCCATACAACAACATCCTAAAGCTCCAAACAATCTAACCGAACAAAATGAAGTGGTGGGCATGAAAGTGTTTGATAACATGGAGAATATGTAAACAGTGAAGTTGGTTATAGTGATGAGAAGTCTTTCGTCTGTAATGTGAATAACATTATAGGCTACCATAATGTCTATCTTTGATAATATTAGGTSCTCGCATTATTCCTCGCTGCACGACATAGTGCGATTAAGGTGATGAAATATATTCTCGTACAGTTTGAAATCAAATGTTCTTTTGTTCATCAGCTGATGTCTGTAGAAAAGAAATGGACCTGGCATTGGTTATCCAACCCTTCCCAAATATGGAGAGATGTTCCTGGACTCGAGTACTGAMTTTCCTTAAATCTCTGGCCGCCAAGTTCCAAGTATCGGCCGATAAAGTCAACATTGGTATCGTTTCCAAAGCAAAGATTCTGAACKCTTTTAATGCACAAGKTCCTAAGTATCTCAACTCTGAAGAAATACAACGAATTCTGAATAATGTTTTCAATAGCAAGGAAAAGGGCAGTTTGGAGCAGTCATTGAAGACTGTTGATGAAAARCTGTTTGGGCCCAAGCAAGGRAAGCGAGCCAACAGAGCTAAGGTAACGTTAATTCCAATACCATTGTCCCTAATTCCTTTGTTTTCATTTGACTCGATAAGTTACTATTCAGAGAACGATCCAGGAGTGTCTTCAGGGAGGGTTGCAAGTTACCCAAGGAGGAGATACTCTCCATAAACATTATAATAGTAGTGGGTTGTTCACCCCCGTACCAACCATTTTTGGTTGTATTTCAGGCACTACTACTTATATCTGATGGACAAGAGCCTATTGAAGTGAACCAGCGACAGCTAAAGCAAACAGTACAAAGCCTAAAAAACAAGGGTGTTCTTATATTTGCTTTCACAATTGGTACCCAGTCCCCAAGCAATCAGATATCCGCCATTGTTTCAAGTCCAAGCAACTCGTTCCACGAAAAATCACTGATTAATACTAATGTTGCTGTACCATCTTTAGCTAAAGCGCTGTGTACAGGTAATTTTTTATTTGTTTTATTCCGTTTTATTTCTTGTTTCCTTTCGTTTCGTTTTGGTTTTGTCTTAATTTGTTTCATTTCGTTTTGGTTTTTGTCTTGTTTTGTTCCGTTTCGTTTTGGTTTTGTCTTGATTTGTTTCGTTTTGTTTTGTTTTGTTTCGTTTTGTTTTTTTCTTAATTTGTTTCGTTTTTTCGTGTATGATTTGTTTTGTTATAACTTTTTGTGAAGAGTTTTTACATTAAAACCTGTCCACTTTCAATTTCAGATAAAAAATGCTCAAAAGTGTTTGATATCGCCTTCTTACTGGACGCATCAGACAGCATCGGTCGATCAAACTGGAATATAAAGAAACGCTTCATCAATAAGGTTCTTGACAACTTCAAGATAAGTGAACGAGGCGTCCATGTTGCGTTCATTGTTTATAGCAATAACGCAGAAATCCTCCTAAAATTTGATACCCTGAGCGGTAATCAAATCAATTCCAAGAACGTGGATAAGTAYGTTGATAAGATAAGTTGGACAAAAGGATATACTTTCATAGACAAAGCACTTGATTTGGCTGATCGAAAGATATTCAACGAAGGGGATGGGATGAGAAAAGCTGCTCCAAAGGTAAGGCACTTTTCAGACGTCAAACCTCACATGTGGTGTATTCAATACAAGCTACTGCAACCTATAGACCTTTCCCAAATCGAGGCAGGACTTGATAGACAAAAGAACCAAGTTCAGTCTCAACTTAAAACCGTTCTTCTGTGATTATCTAAGCGAATTCGTGAAAGGTTTATTATCATCTCATTTGCATTGAACTCAACACATGTAAAATACGACGTCTGACGTCTTTTTATTTTGGTCAAAAAACTCATAATTTACGCAGGAAGACTAAGAATTCGAAAAAATRTTAGTCTACAGTAACTTTTAGCGTTTAATACATTTTCATTGGCGAATTTTGTTCCACTGCCAACTTGGTACTGTTTGTGCGAAGGTTGGATAAAGTTATCTAACGGTTAAAGTTATTTACTCTATATCTATGTGGATTTTATCTGCTGGATAATGATTTTCACCATTCGACTGAACGTCCTGGAAAAGAATTATCTAATGGAATCAGCACTGAATCCGATCCTACATCGTTTCATCATTCATCTTTCTAGATTATGTTAATCTTAACCGACGGCAAGCAGACACGTGATCGAGGCCCATTCACCGAGCCCTCTCTAATTGCTGAGAAGATCAAACGTAAAGGAGTTCAAATATACTCTGTTGGTATTGGTGACAGCATTGACAAGGCTGAACTTAACAGCATTGCTAGTGATCCATCCAAGGTCGTCTTGACTGAATCTTATGGGTCTTTGAGTAATTTAGCTGATAATATCAAGGAGCTTATATGCAAAGGTACACTACATTACATCATTTATACCTTTAAACACATCCCTTCACATTCCAATTGAAACGTCTCAGAAAATACATTTCGGGGAAGGCTTTCACCYCTCGGAAGATGTAATCCATTGGCCTTGTTCAAAAACAAAGCACAAAAGAAAAGACAGTGACAATGAGAGATATCGTTCCGAGAGAGGAAAAGATCTACCCTTTTCGGTGAACCCTTTTCGGTGTACCCTTTTCGGTGTACCCTTTTCGGTGTACCCTTTTCGGTGTACCCTTTTCCTGTGCAAGGTAGCAGTGGTTTTGCATCAATGAGAAGCGCTAATTCATCTTTCATATGAATTCGATGCAAAGGACCGCAAACTTACCTTTCAATGGAACCCAATGGTTAACTATGAATGAGGCTAATACTTGTTTTAATCTAGCATGAGTTTCACCCAGTTTTTACCTGTAAAACCCAGTTATTTTCGAGAATAAACAGGATGTACTCAGGCAAGTTTTAATCAAGCCTGTCAATAAATCTCTCAAAAGGGGCAGATATTCGGACAGGCAAATGTCCAAGGCAATGGAAAGCAATCTTTGGACAGTCATGTGATGGTAGGCCTAATACCTGCACCGCCGACAACCAATGCCCGCCTCGCATGAAATGCTGTAAGAGTGGATGCCACAGTCAATGTGTACTAGCGAGTCAAGGTAATTACAGTAACTTCATTAATAAAAGCGCTCAATATGATAAAATTGACTTTTGATAATCTTAACAGCTTTTGC